CTGGTTCTATGATTTAAAGCTTTGCCTGTGTATTTAAAGCCATTTTGACAGGGCTGGACATAACCCCTGACAGAGATCTTAGAGAATATCCCCTCCTTGCCACTTGCTGTTGCAGCAGAGAAGTCCCTGGATACTCCAATCTCCTTCTGAGGATTGGCCATGGCAAGATTGAGCACAGAGAGCAGGTTTTGGAGGAGACACTGCTGCTCCCAGGTGTGCAGCACAGCGTGGATACTCTGTCAGCTGGGAGTGCTTGGACCCCATTTACAGCTGCCAAAATGAAGAAATAAAATGAAACAAAACATCTTTTGTCACATTACAATGGAGCAAGAGGAATTCTCTTAAAAGGCAGTGAGAAGAGAAACCCTAGGAATAGAAAGATAGGGTTGGATAAGATTTCATTGAATTCTTGTCATCTGGGAATAAAATTTGTGAGGGAATATTGTTCTTATCCTTATAAATGGCCAATATCTTCTTGAACCCAGAGAAGCAGAGGCCAGGCAAGGTTTGTGGCTCACATTAGCAGATTCTAATGACATGAGTTTACAATAATAGTCTAATAGTTCAGTGTAACAGTGACTCATGGCTTATTACTGTGGTGATAGGAATGTAAAGAGATCTCATTTGAAAAAAAATCTATTTGGATAGTTCACATCCTTTCCTCCCTACTCATGAATTCCTGTGCCATTGACTGCTGGCTGCTAAAAATAGGATTCTTTTTGTGTATCTAAAGGAAAACCTAGAATCAAAGAGACAGTTGGAGGGGACCAAGGCCCTTCCATACAAAGCCTTCAGGAAATATTTGTAATGAAAGCCCTCTGAGAGTGCGGGACTGTTTTTAAAATATGGAAACAATCTAAGAAGATATTTTGGAAGGAAGAAGGATAGGAATTAATGAATCGCAGCAGCTCCCAGCTTTGGTATTTTGCACCATGGGGATGGGAAGATTCATCTCTTTATTAGGTACAGGACCAAGCTACAGCTTTGTCTTGGAGAAGCTGTTCCACTTCAACAGCAGCAGAGGAAGCTCCAGGGAACAGCCCAGGATCAGCCCTGTGGGCTGTTAAAGAGCCAGGAGAGAAGATTTCCTAAGAGTCACTTGAAATTGTACAAGTCCCTTAAGGACAGCAGCAGGAAAGGGGAACTTACATGAGTAAGGTATCTGCAAATGGATTATCACCACCACCCCTTTGAAAAAGGAAAAAAAAAACGCAAAAAACACATGGCACCTCACAAACTGAAGTGTGAAATCATGCAGCAGGGAAAGCTGTCACAGAGAATCAGAAATTGATTTAATAGACAAAAATTGACTGCTGCATAATTTGTGCAGATTGCTGCTGGCTGAGAGAGAGACAGAGACCCACAGCTCCAAAGGGTTCAGAGCAGGGCACCCTCTGGCAAAAGGGGTGGAGAGCAAAATTCCATCGCTGGCAATTGCACGTGTGCTGAATGCTTCCTCTTCTTCAGTAGGGAACAATTAAAATCGATGGCAGGATGCAAGGTAACAAAGGGAGATGACTGATCAATATGCATGTCTTGGAGCTGAAGAGGAGCCGGTCTGCCGGGAGCAGCATGCTGATGAGGAGAGATTCCCAGAGAAAACCTGAAAAGCTTCTCCTGCTGCTCCTTAACACAGCTGAGCAGATGCCAGGTGCAGTGCCAGGAGAGGTGAAGGCACCAAGGAGGATAAGGAATAACTGTTAGGAAAACCAGGGAATGTTAATTTTAAGACTAAGTAGCTTTAAAGTAAAAAAATGTGATGCTTCTCTTCTTTGCCTTTCTAAATATCTCAAAAGCCCTTTACTAATATTGATAAATTATGGTCTTTACATACCTGTGCAAGGTTTTAGAGGTGCTGAGACATTGACATTTTAAAGCCAATGCCCATTTTATTCCTCATCTCAAAGCACTTTAAATCCCACATCCCTGAATATTTCACTGTGGGGTTTTTCTGCCAAGCATAGCCAAAAATCAAACACTAAATCTTTCATGATTCAGTAGTTTTAAATCAGTCACTCAGATTTCTGAATACTTTTGAAAATATTGCTGTAAAGGGTCTGCCATGGATCTAGTGAGACAGGGAATGGCACGTGGACCTCCAGGTTCCCTTTCCCAGTTTTTCCTCTCCTTGAGTGGTATTTATTTTCTGAGGCAACAGCCCACGGACTGGCACACGAGGAGTTAAGCACCTCAGGACTCACAGCTCGTGCATCTCATTCTGCTGACACGGACAGAAGGCGAACACAGCTGAAGATTAGAGCCAGAAAAATGCTGCAAGAACTTTGTGAAAGTTCACTTCATCCCAACCCCACATTTGCCTGAACATATCGCCCATGAGTTCCTAACTGTGGCATCCTAAACAGTGGATGAAAACCCATTTTGTCACCTCATGACTTTGGTTTCGTTGACAAACCAGGGAAGACTGGTAGTGCTAAGACAGCATGTTCTCCCTGGGCTTGGAGCAAGGGTTCTCCTCCTCCTGGTCCTGCACCATGTCACCCTCTGCCTCTTCCCCAGAGCCCTCCTGTTCCCTCAGCACAGCTGAAGGAGCAGCCATTCCCTTGGGAGCCACTGCACCTTTCCCTGAGGCTGGTTCCCAGCCAGGCACACTGCTTTGCTCTTTCCCTGCGGAATGCACAGAAGGGCTGAGAGCTCTACAAGATCTGTCCAGTCCAGGGAGAATTTGAATGCTTGGCTGTTGAGGAATCCCTGGCACGTTCCTCCCGATGCCTCTGTGCTACCAGCCCTCTGCCACTGCCTCCTCACTGGGGTTCTCTGCATTCCCCATGGGAAGGGGAGGCTTGAAAGCACAGGATGGAACAGCCACGCTGTCCTCGGGCTCAGCCCCAGACACTCTGCACTGTCCCATTCTGGAGGGTGGTGGGAAGGCCAGGTAGAAACAGGAGGAGAAAAAATTTCCAAGCAACCTTTTGTAGAGAGACTTAGTTGAGTGTTTCATGGCCAATGCAGAAATGTTCCTTCTCTCCTTCCAGTCCAGCCTCACCGAAACCCAACCTAAGCAAGACTGGGAATTGGGGAAATGGGAATCAAAACCCCTCCACTGGCTGCCAGGCAGAAGAAAATCTATCTGCATCTGCTGAAACCTCCATGCTTTGAACTGCAGGGATACATCCCATCCTTCTGGGGAAACCATCTTATCCCGCTGAGATAAGTGGGCATGGACAGCCCCAACCTCTGCCATGGCATGAGTGGCTTTATCAGCAGGAATGGGAAGAGGGAAAGGCACTGCTAAGCCAGGCTCTGCTATGGAACAGAAAATGCATTGTTTGTAAATCAGACTTTGGAACAGCTTAAGACTTAAACACACCTTCAGTTAATTAACCTTTTAAGAGAGCAGCACAGCCCCAGAGCGAATACAACAACATTCAGTGCCACGACTGCAGGTTTTGCTAGAAAATAAACAAATTTTCCAGGGCTGGGCTTGATAGTGCTGATCAAGAAGTTGGGTTGGGTTCAAATTCATCTCCAAATTCTAGTGGGGATTCAAAAATGCTTGTAACACCTAGAGAAAATTAACTTTAGCAAAATATTTGTACACAGTATGTGTCGTAAAGCCCCAAATGGTCTGAGAGATGCTCTTTAATAAGCTCTATGAGTGTGTTTCCCAGCAGTGTGAACCTTGTGGGGTTTGTTTTTTATTGCCTTATTAAAATATGTTTCCAGGATGCTCAAACAACATTTTCTCAGCCATTTTTTGTGCACAATTACACTTTCTTCCCTATGCTAATTTTATTCCTGTATACATGCCCTCTGGAGCAAGCAGTGCCTCCATCACGGTAACACAACTGTTTTCATGTCAGTGTTAATGAAGGACAGAATTTGATCCTTTGAGGTCAATACTTGACCTCTCACCCTGCATCTCTGGGGCTGAGAAGACTCCGCAGTGGTTACTGAGTTTCACCAGGTGAACACTGTCCTCCAGTAAACGAGGAAATGGCACCAACCTTCCTGCACCAGAGTGAAACAGAGGACTGGGAATATTTCTTTGGCACAAGAGGAATGACAGCTGGAAAAGAGCCGCTGCAGCAGGACCCTTTAACCTTTTAACCCTTTAACTCAGACCCTTAACTCAGAGCTGCGCTCGTGCTCAAATATGGGCAGGAATCATTCAGTGCTCTGAACAGAACAGGACAGGGGTGTAAAGCCACACTGGAAGCGGTGGGATGCCAGCATTTCCAGGAGGGGGATTCTCCTGGCAGGCTGCTCCTGCCAGCAGTTTCTATGTAGAATATATCCAGGGATGGTTTCCATATCACTGTCCATATGTTCCCTCATAGCAGCCATAGCAGAGACACGACTTCATGTGCCTCATAGGGAACGTGGTCCTGCAAGTGGATTAGCATGTGGCCCCTCCTGTTGGGAAGAGCAGCTCGTCCCTGACCTCCAGGAATTCCTTCCAACCAACACTTTCATGGTTCAGTGATCCTTGGTCTTTTCCAGTGGCAGGGCCTTGGCCTGACAGCTGCTGGGTTTGTAAGTTATTTCCCTGGCTGGACTGACTCCGAGCCAGAGGAAATAAAGCTGGCAGGATCCCCCAGATCCCTGCACTGCAATGTATCCCTGCCAGGGCCTCCAGAAAGGGTGCAGAGCAGGAGTTACTGGCCCAGCAGCCCAGGGGAATCCTGGCTCCATCCCCTCCAGCCTCCTGGGTACCAGACCTGAAGCAAATCCAGGACGGTGACAGAGACAGACCACAAAGCCAGAAACGCGGCCTGGAGAGGAACCACACGTGTCCAAAGTACAATTCCTTGATAATTTTCATCCTGGCATGACACAACTCTGCCTCTCCCTGTCCCAGCACAGCCAAAACCTCCCTGTCATGAAGGGAGTTATTTAGCCAAAGTTGAAGTTATATAGCCAAGACACACATACAAAAAAAAACCCCAAAAAACAGAACTATCCCATATCATTCCTCACTTACACTTTGAGACCTAGTTTTATTCTCTGATGCCCAAGAAGAAGATTCAGCCCACTGGGTTTTCATTCTTTATTTTAAAATGTTTTCACAAGTAGCAAAAGTTTGTTCCTTTGAGGAGAAAACCCACAGAATCATTGACCGTTTTCAGAATGGTTATAAACACGGATGCTTTGCCACAGATTTGTATCAGAATAGAAAGTAATATAAATATATAAGTCTGTATATAAAAATAAATGATTTGGTACTAGCAGATCCAAGTAGGACAATTTCAGTGGGGGACAGAGACAAAGTAGAAAAAAAAGTAACATCACAATTTTATAAATCCCTTTCTTAAAGGCATTCAAAAATTTTGACCTTCCACTGAGCGTGAAAGAGAGAAGGAGAACCCCAATTGACACAATATCTACATTTTGTATCATTCATGTCACACTTGAAGTTATCACGACAAGGCTGATATGAAAGTGTCAGAAGTGCATAAACTCTGGGGTTTACATACAAGAGGATGCATATTTAAAGCATATTTTACGTTTTAGGGCTGTTACCTTACTTTACTCCAAAACGATTATTTTAGCCTATAAGACAAATTTTAACTGCTTGAAATAAAGCAACCGTCCCACAGCAATAAGACTTATCTGGTGTCTGAGCCAGGCAGAAAAAAGGGCCAGGGCACCATGAGTAGGGTGGTAACAGAATCCCAACACCTTTCACCATTAACTGGAATATGGCATTTACCTACTGGAATTCAGAAGGTTTAGAAATTCAGCTCCTTTTTTTTTTTTTGCTTTTATCTTCCAGAACCGACATTTTCCCTTTTGGGCGACCACAGAATCATCTCTTACAAACATCATTATTTTTCCTGCCGTTATTTTTCACTCATTTGCAACACTCCCAACTCCCAAGCCGCCCACCAGCACTCAGGACAGAGACACCACACGAGGTTCAAGCTGCCAGAATTCTCGCTGGTTTTGGTGCAGCCTCCCCAGAGGAGGGTGCAAGGGGCAGGGGAAGAGAACCCACTCCTGTTTTCTCCATCCCGTATCTCCCCAGTCCCACCCGCGGATCCCTCTCGGGGAGCCAGCACGGGCCATGACCTCCCTCTAGCGTCCACAGCTCCTCTGCCTCAGCTCCTCCCCAAAACAGCCACCAGAGCCCTTCCAGCTCTCCGGGCAAGCGGGATCTGGTTTGGTCCTGCGATGATGTTTAGAGGCACTCCAGAGTATGAGAACTCACCAAGCACCCCCAGGAGTGCCCGGGGATCAAGCAGCCTCCTTGAAACTCTCCTGCAATTAACATTTAAGGATTATGCAGGAGGCCCGAGGCAAGCAGCTGTCTCCACTCCTGCAGGAGAGGCCCGAGGGCAACAGGACATGAAGGCAAACAATTTAGAGCCCCCACATCAGCTCAACTTTCCTCCTCCACTGCCAGCACACTTCTCACTTGTTCTAGCAAGACAGAAAGGTGCAAATGTCACCTTGGCACAATGGCAGTGGTTGTTTTTGTAAGAAAAAACATCCAGCTTGTGGTTTTATCTAAAAATGGCTCCTGATGCCAACATGATGCGTGTGAAGGAGCTTCCCCGTGCTCAGGGCAAGGGCTGCTGCTGTCAGCCATGAGGAACCCTGGTTAAAGGATCATTCACTGACCATCTCCCTCACTGGCTGAGGGAGAGGCAGGGGCACATTTCTGTCTGTTCCTCAGCCCTGGTAATGCTTTAAAACAAATCTAAAATAATAAAAACCCCTAAAAATTACATTCAGATGTAACCTTAAAAATGTAAACTAGTAAAACATTAAGCTGCAAAATCAACATGAGTCAGTGGCTGAAGTAATGAACAAAGGGGCAGAGTTCAAGCAACTGCAGATACATAAGCAAAATTCCTCTCTTCCCCAATTTAAAAAGTAAATATTTACTGTAAATCTGTTTAATACACCGTGGTTTTAAAACACTCCTTTGGGCAGAACTCCTGACCCCCACCCCGGAGCACTGAGGAGATCTGCTAGTCATTGTGTAGGATTCAAGGCCAAGTTTAACAAGAAGAGCAGTCTCAACATTGCTCTAAGCCTTAGTCACAGAAATACAGCAATTATTGTGGCAGTTAATTAAAACAGGCTCTTTCCTATTAATGTAACATTTGCCTTTATATTTTAAGCAGCCCAATTTTCAATTTAATATACTATTAAATATTTATCCCTGTGCCTTTGAGGCATCCCAAAAGCTGCTGGGTTTTGGAAGACTTTTAAAGGTGAAAGAATTTAAGATCTGGACCCACTGAGGTGCACAGCTTGGTTCCTGCTCAAGTCAATGAGCAACAGCAGCCTCTGCTTTGTGTAGTAAGGGCTGTCACTGAAAATATGTATTTTAAGGAATATTAAATGCTGGTATAAAATTCCTGAATTAAATGTGACCTGAACAGAGACAGACACGAACCAACATGGTACAATCCCACCAAGCCCAGATGTTACTGTAGCTTTTAAAACAATAGAAAATGCTTGCTTGACAAAGCCTGCAGTTTGAGGCACTGAGGCCTTGCTAATGCTTACAACAGAGCATTCCTGTATCAGACACTTGGTCTTTAAATGTGTATTTCCAGTATTTTCAGTGACAGTGCTGACTGCACAAATGCTGGATGATGCTGCTGGTCACTGACTTAACCCAGAACACCCACACAGTTGCTTTATCTGCCCTCAGAGTTACAAGGAAGTGCAAGAGAAAGTTCTTTGTTCCCATTTCTTTGTTCCCAAGCACAGATTGCAAGTATCCAGGTTCTGAAGTGGTGGAAGACCCTGTGTGAACAACTCCCCAGTCCAAAGGCGCATCCAGGGCAGGTTACAAGAGCACCCAGCTCTCGGGACTTTGCCTTATGGCAACATGAGGGATTTTGCCAGTCTCGTCCAGAACCATTTTTTGGTGCAAGGGTTGGTGTAATCACAGATCGTGATGAACCGCAGGATACTTGGAAACTCGTTCTTCATGGATTTGTACTTGACTGGGATCAGCCGTTTGCTACGAGCCCCTGGAAGACAGGTCACACAGGCACAGGTTACACAGAGCCACAGTTGGACCCTAATCCACTTCCTCCCCACCACCGCACCCTATTTCCAGCATTTACTCACACCCTAAATTTACTGTAATACTTTTTTCTTTAGTAGCAAATTTCCCTGGATGGATCTTAAAGCACTTCACAAGCCTGACGTGCAGCTCTGACATCTCTGGAGCAGGCAGCATTATCCCACTGACAGCTGGAGCACTGCAGCACGGGCAGCTCCTCGCTCACTGTCACGTGGAAGGTCAACAGCAGGGCAAGGGACCGAGCCCAGGTCCCTGCCTGCACAACCAGATTATGAAGCCAGTCAGTTCCAGTGGTACAGAGCCCACTGACCTCAGATGCTTCAGATGTCACTGCACTGAAAATAATAATGTGCAAGTGTAAATGGGAGTATTTGTGAGATCTTACCTGGGGAAAGACTAAGAGCAAATTTGGTCTGGAAATCACATTCATCGCTTTCCAGGTAATCGTCTGAAACGACAACCACCATCCTCCGACACCTGGAGATGAGGAGTCAGGGGGAAAAAACGATAAAATGTCAAAGGAGATGGTTCTCATTCTCATGGATAGAAACACATACTGCTCTGAATTGCTCTGGTGGAGAAGGACCTGACAGCTGTGTCCCAGCAGGAATTAACTGCAGAGCAGGAACGACTGACAGACAGACAGACAGTGACGTTACACACAGAAACCTGATTAAACATAACACTCATATACCAAAAAACGAGGAAACAGCAAAGTCCAGATTGTCTGCGCAACTTTTATGTGACCCTCTGTCTATATATGACAAATAAGGCCAAGAAAAGTGATCAAACATAAGCAGCATCACTAAGCAGCACCTCCCTCATGAACACAACGAATCAACATGTTGGGGAATGCTCGAGCCTTGAGCCAAGAGCATAAAACAAACCCCATAAAGACATTCTTGTGGATTTGAGCTGTTTCACTGGCACCACACCGCAGACATCAGGGTAAACTGACTGTAATGTCCCATGACACTCAGCTGGCCCCAACAGTCACAGCTCACTTACCTCCTCTCTATAAGTTCTCCGCTGATGGACCACACACAGGTTCCTGGCAAGACATCCCGATCAAATACACAGAGCTTCAGTTTGAACTCTGTTTGCTCCAGCTCCCTGATCATCTCCTGGACAAACTGCAGGTCTTTCTGACAGTAGCAGATGAAGGCATCAAATATCTCTGTTCCACTCCCTGAAAACATTAAAAATGCAGCTGTCATCTCCTACTGGAAATGAAGCTCACTCCTCCAGTGAGCTTTCATGAGCTCCCACAGACTTTGACTCGGAATCAGGAGCTCTGACAGACAAGCTCTGGCCAAACTCGTGAATGAAATTTAACATTTTGTTAGACCAGCTGCCCTTCAGCCCAGACTCCTGTCCCTAGCAGGGCTGGCAGGAGGTAACACACATCTGTGCCTCGACTGCTTTCACCAGCCAGGCTGTTCACAAACACCCACATCAGCTGGCAGTGCTCAGGGAAGGGGAGCTGAGATGCAGACAGGCAAAATCTGTGGAGGCAATAACATCCAGCCACAGGGAATCAAGGGGAAAGAGTCTGTGAAGAGCTGGAGGGAGCAGAGTACCCCAGAGGATGCAACTCAGAGCCCCAGTGCTCTGGGATTTCACTGGGAGCCACACATCTAAAACATCCTCATGGCTCCAGGTCCTCCTTCTCCAGTTCAGCTCACAGAGATTCAAATTTCCCAGCCAAAACCTTCCTGCAGGCCCTTCATCCAGCAGTGTCCTGCCACAGACTGTCCATGGAGCTACAGGGTCAACCTTGAAATCTGGAACCTGCCACTTCTATGGCTAAGATGCCAGACCTGGGTACCTGCAGTCGTCTCCTAAAGTAAATGGGCCTGTTTTCCAATTACACTAATGGCTGGCAGCTCTTGTTTATTTAGCAGTTATCCAAATATTAAACTGCTGCATTTTAAGGGCAATGTCTCTCATAATTAAGCGCCTTAATGCTGCTGGATAGCTTCCCACTGTGGTTTTTTTTTTTTTTTTTCCATATCAATGTCACTACAGATATTTTCAATTTTTTATGCCAGTTAAAGCCTACCACAGTGAAAAAATAGGTCAGAGACTCTAAAAGCTGCTGAGGAAAGTATCAACCCAGCAGGCAGATCCAGCCCAAGATGCATGCAGTGAAGCAGAAGGGGAATGTCTGCCAGGTCAGTCGAGCTGAGGGTGCTGCTGGAGGGGCACGGCGTTAACCTGGGGGTCACGTCAGCCAAAGCTGCCCTGTGCAAACACCAGCATATGGGTCTGAGGACATTTGGGGAGGGTTAAGGATGTCCCCACCCTAAAGGCAGTCAGACTGGCCAGCACACACACACGTGTGCACACACATGGCTGCACACGCAGGGCTGCACGTGGTGGCACATGCACGTGGCTGCCCAGGCAGAGCTGCACACACAGCCCAGCAACACACACACAGAGAACTGTTTCCTCTCTCTGCCCACTTCACACTCAGCCCTACTTCAAACCCGCTTCCTTTTCACTCAAGGTGGTTCCACCTGCCAAAGGTAGAGCAGGGAAATCAGCTCTGACGCCCCTCCCCCTGGACTCCAACCCCCTGAGCTTTCAGCTCTGCACCAGGCTGGGCTAAGGGACGTGGTTTTGGGAATTCTCCTCCCTGTATGTGTCCAGTGGCTCTGTGCCAGCCTGTTCCTGGGTATGGCATTCCCCAGGGTTGCTTTTCCTCTCCACTCTAGGAAACAGGAAAAATTAAAATGCCCCGTGACTACCAGGCAAAGCATTCCAGCCTAGGTTACTAAAAGTCATGGGAGGAATGAAAGCAAACAGGTTTTCTGCACTTCTCAAGGGGACCTGCTACAGCTGAAGGCCATTCCAACATGAGGCATGAGGCCTTCCAGCAATGGAACCACGGGCACTTACCGTAGGGATCGTCCCTGATGGTGATGCCCATCAGTTCCGAGGTCTTTGGCACGCTGCTGTCTACTGCTGGCACTTGAAGAGGCTGGTTGGCCTGTTCCTGCTTCCTCTGCAAGTACTTCCTGCAGTCCTCCTCTGCAAAAACACACGACCAAGGCAAGAGGCTCCGGTGATGTGGGTTTACACTGCTGCCAATCATCAAAACAGGAATTGCTATTTCATGGATCAGGGATATTAGAGGGAAAGCCCCTCTCTGGTTTTTTGGTACGTAGAATTTCTCTTACCCCTTACTGAACCTCTTGATGATGCCTCCACTACCTCCTCTAGCAATTAATTCCTGAAGCTGACTCCTGCTGTTTAAAGAAATACTTCCTTTTACTTGTTTTAAAACGATCTCCTCCTATTACTCTTGGTTCTAGAGTATCCCAGCACACCTTTAACAGCAGGCATCAGGCACAGAGCAGCTCCCCTGCTGCCTGCTCTCACTGTTCTGCATTTTGGAGTATGTAAAAATCACAAAACAGTTGGGGAGGATTCTCAGTTAAAAGTCTTCACAGTGTCAATGTCTTCTCCCAAATAACAGACCACAGGACAAGAGGAAATGGCCTCAACTTTTTGTGCCAGGGCAGGTTGAGACTGAATATTAGGGAACAATTCTTCACTGAAAGGGTGGTCAGGCATTGGAACAGGCTGCCCAGGGAAGGTGGAATCGCCATCCTGGAGGTATTTAAAAGACGTGGCACGTGGGGACATGGTTTAGAGGTGGCCTTGGCAGTGCTGGGTTAATGGTTGGACTCAATCATCTTGGAGGTCTTTCCCAACCTTAGCAACTCCCTGCAGGCACACAGGAGCTGATTCACAGCCCTGGCCCTTGTCAGCCTGGACAACTGCAGGTGACAGTGAGTATCTACACTCACCACACACAGGAGGACACTAACATTTTAAGGAGCCCCTGAAACAGCTTTTAGGTTGTGCAACACCTGCAAGGGATCCTCTTACCCAGGGCAGAGTGGGTGTGTATCCCTCTCTAGGGTAACTGAAGGACAAAGTCCTGTCACAGTCGCTGCTGTGAACTTCCCAATCAGGACAGTGATGGACACAGATCTACTATGAACAGACTTGGTTTAAAAATAAATGATAAATCTAAATGTTAAATCTTTGGAGAAGCAAAAAGAAACCCTGCAGCCTCTTCTACTCTGCAATTACAGAAGAACTGAAAGTAAAAGGAGATTTGAAACCAGGAATTAAGAATAAGATAAAACTCCCTAGAGCCTTTGCCTTTGCTTAAGATTAAAAAAAAAAGCTCAATAAGTATTAATCAGGAAACTCCTGATCACTCAGAGGGTTTGGCTGGCACAGCTGCAGAGCTCGTGGTGCAACAGCAGAGTAGAGAATCCCTGATCAGCATGAGTGGGTCTGCAGGAGGCCCACCCTGAGGCTCCATCCCCTGCTTCTGTCTCAGCTTTGCATCTCGTGACTGGATTATCTCCAATCTGATAAGGCTCAGATCTGATCAGGGCTCTTCCTGAGGCTGAGGCATTCCCAATCTGCCTTTCTCCTCCCCCCTGCCTCCCCAGTCCTGCAGAGGGAAGAACCAGCCACATTCCTTACCAGCCAGAAGGTTCAGATTTCAAATCTTCCCTCACTAAACTCAAACTCAGGCCCCACCTCTGCCAGCTGCCTGAGGTGTGTCAGGTAAGTCATGATTGAAGCCAGTTTGAATTTGCCAGTGGGTTCAGCAGTTATGGGTTTATTATGAGCGCAAACTGGGGGCCCTATGGCATTACAGCTACCAAGAGGTCCCATGAGGGTGTAGGGACGAAAGGCATTCACTGATTTGGGATGGATCAGTTCCCCAGCTGGAAACAGCACCTGACTGTACAGATCAACAAGAGTGAACAAAATCAGGGATTACTTTGGGACTGTAAAAATAAAGGATGCTAAACAACAAAGCCAAGTAGCAAAAAACTGCTCCAAGCTGAGCTGTCCCACTCCACCCAGTACCTAAGCAGGCTTTACATTCCTCGAACACTCAAAGAAAAGCCTGAGGTATTGGAAAGAAAGAATGAAAACATGGAAACCCAAAGAGCAAAATGAGTAGCATGGTGAGAAGACAGAGAAAACAGACCAAGTAACTGTCAGTCAGGAAAGCAGCAGGAAAGAGCACAAACCTATCGAAGCAAAGAGCTTCAGGCACCTAAAGATGATTGTACAGGGAAATAATCTGCTGAGGAAGATCACAGTTAGGGCAGAGCTGCTGGGACACTGATGTCTTCTGATCCTGAGCTGGACCTCACTGCAGGAGTACTAACTGTGCACACAAAGATGCCCCTGGCACCAGGAAATACCGTGCACAAGAGTGCATGAAACCATCCATTTCCTTTCCTCTTATGAGTAAATACCTCCAACTTCTCCAAGAGCTCTGAGCACCAACACGAGGTCACAGGGCCTCACTGCAGCCCTCAGCCAAAAATAATAGCAGAGAGAAACAGCCAGTTGGTCAGGCTGAGGGTCCATTTGCCCCTAGCACCATCCTATATCAATCACTGCACAAAACCAGATATCTAGGGAGGGAACATAAGAATAAAATAAGCTTGCAGAGATATTTCCCTAAAATAATTTATCTTTTAGGTATAATCTACAATCTATTTATTATAATCTATCTTTTGGATGATTTAGAGGCAAGGAATTTCCTGAGCCAGAGACAGTATTTTTGTGTTGAACAGCCCTTAGTGGGTCTTTTCTCCAAAAATTTGTCTGTCTCCTCTTATCAGTGTGACCTAACTCTGGGCAAAACTTGTGACTTTCCTCCCACTCCTCCTGCTGGAGTCTATTCCAGCTCTGACAAAGCCCATCCCCCACAATTCCTTCCAGTGGGCCAGATCCTGAGCTCAGTGCCAGAACCACCCTGGGTGATCCCAACGTTTTTGTGAAGCCCCAGCTCTCTTGCACAACTGGAAGCCTCCCCTAATTTGTTAGGAAAACTCTGATCAGCGCATCACGAAGCACAGTGATGCTTTTGTCTTTCCCCAAACCTGGTGTTCAGACTGTGTTCTTAAGTAGGAAGAACCACAGGAGCAAAGGGAAGTCCTCCAACACTTCTTGGTCTGGCTCTCTACAGTGATGGATTTCTACATCTTCCTTTATCTCCGTGAGTAACAGGAAGTGAGATTTATTACTTCCTCATCGCTAATCCAGTATGTTCTATTGTACAACACAGGACTTCAGTGGAGTCTCTGGCTTTGGAAATCCTTTGGCAAAAAAAAATTCCCCTTCTGATAACAGCTGGCTTCCTTCCAAACTTCTCTGATTGCAAAGAGTATGAAGAGCCTACAAAGGAAAGGTTATCAAAACAGCACAAGGGCCTTATACTTGTCACTGACCTGCCCCAATTTTTTCAGCTCGCATGGAAACTTTTTTTCCCCAACATTATCCACTTCCACACATCCCTCATCTCCCCCAGCAAATACCTTCCTATCACACTATAGCCACACATTATGATTTTCACACTGTCTGGTGCCAGTGCAAGCTGTCTCCTGGCTGACCTGGCCCAAAGCATCCTCTGACACACAGAAATTTATTACTGAAGGTTTGGGATAAGACAGGACTTCAAGTCACTTTGGACTTCTGGAAGCTACGTGAGGCTACTGTGAAGGTTTGGGTTGGAAGGGACCTTAAAGATCATCTCATTCCAAGCCCTCTGCTGTGGGTAGGGACACCTTACACAATCCCAGGTTGCTCAGAGTCCCATCCAAAGTGGCTTTGAACACTTCCAGGGATGGAGCATCACAGCCTCTCTGGGCAACCTGTGCCAGGGCCTCCCCACCCACAGGGAAGAATTTGTTCCTAATATCTAATCTAATATCCTAACATCTAATCTAAATCTCTCCTCTTTTAGTTTAAAACTATTCCCCTTTATCCCGTCACTATCCACCCATGCAGGAAGTCCCTCTCTCCTCCTCTTTTCTATAAGCCCCCTTTAGGCACTGGAAGGGGCTGTAAGGTCTCCCTGCAGCCTTCTCCTCTCCGGGCTGAACATCCTCAGCTCTCCCAGCCTGTCTCCACAGCCGAGGTGCTCTAGCCCTCGGAGCAACCCTGCGGCCCTCGTGAAAACACCAGGGATGTCACTCCACAGTCTGGGAACGCCTTTTCTTTTTAAAATTGCGTTAATTGAGCGAAATTTGTTTCTTAACATCACCTCCCCGGACAGAGCAGCAAAGACCGACAGGAGCAGCAAAGACCGACAGGAGCAGCATCCCCTCCCTCCGAGGCATCACGGAAGCAGCACCGGGGGCAGGCTCGGTCCCACTGCCGGGATTCCCGGGGCTGTCCCGTTCTCCCCGTCCCCTCCCCGGCGCTCTCCCGTCCCGGGCTCCTCACCCACGCTGCCGGACAGGTCCATCAGCACATCGTCGCGACCCAAGCGCCGCAGCACGTCCAGGAGCTGCCCCACGGTGGCACCGCCGGGGCAGCGCCCCGGCCACTCCTCCAGCAGCGCGGCCGTGGGGTCGGGCAGCCCCTCCAGCCGCCGGATCTCCAGGAAGCTGCATCCCAGCGCCTCCGCCAGCGCCGTCCAGTCGGCGGCCGCGGCCGCCCGCGGGTTGAGGTAGAGCCCGAGGCGGCGGCGGACGCCGTAGTTGAGCGCGACCAGGGGCACGGCGTGCAGGTCCAGGGGCACCGGGCTGGGGATGGGGCTGGGGCTGGAGCCGGGCCCGGGCTCCGCCGGGGCCTTGGCCATGGCCGTGCCGCTCCCCGAACTTCCCCTTCCCGGCACTTTCGCTTCCCGGCTCGCCCCGCCTCCCTCCTCCCGCCCCCGCCGGGCTCTGCCCGCCCGCCCTGGGGGTGCGCGGAGGGGACGGGGTTTGGGGCAGCCCCGGTGTGGGCAGTGGGATAGCTCTCTGCTGTGCTTGGCACTGGTGAGGCCACACTCCCAGTCCTGTCCCGGTTCAATTCGGGAAGGACACTGAGGTGCTGGAGCAGGTCCAGAGAAGCGCGTCGAAGCTGGGGAAGGGTCTGGAGAGGGCTGGGGGAAGAGCGGCTGGGAAGGTGCCCGGTGGGAAAGGACCTGGCAGTGCTGGTTGACAGTAAGTGAACATGAGCCAGGTGTGCCCAGCTGGCCAAGAAGGCCAATGGCATCCTGGCTTGTATCAGGAATATGTGGCCAGCAGGAGCAGGGAAGTGATTCTTCCCCTGTACTCAGGACTGAGTGAGGCACCTCCAGTCCTGTGTGCAGTTCTGGGCCCCTCTCAAGAAGAAAGACATTGAGGTGCTGGAGCAGGTCCAGAGAAGGGCAGGGAGCTGGTAGAGGGTCTGGTGCACAAGTCTGATGAGGAGCAGCTGAGGGAGCTGGGGGTGTTTAGCCTGGAGAAGAGGAGGCTCAGGAGAGACCCCACTCTCTAAAACTCCCTGACAGGAGGTTGCAGCCAGGTGAGGGTCGGTCTTTTCTCCCAGGCAAATAGCGACAGGACAAGAGGACACGGTCTTAAGATGCACTAGGGGAGGTTAAGGTTGGACATCAGGGAAGAATTTCTTCACAGAAAAAGTCATTAGACATTGGAATGGTCTGCCCGGGGAGGTGGTGGAGTCACTGTCCCTGGAGGTGTTTAAGGAAAGACTGGACTTTGCACTGAGTGCCATGGTCTGGTTGACACGGTGGTGTTGGGTCACAGGATGGACTCCATGATTTCAGAGCTCTTTTCCAACATAACTGATTCAGTGATTCTCTGATTCTCCCACTGGGCTTTGTCCAAATGTACTGCCCTGCCCCGCAGACAGGAACCTGTGCTGTGGGTCAGGGGAGACACTTCTGCCAGAGGGAGGAGTGCTGTCACTAAAGCTGTTTTACTTTATTGCCCCCACCAAATCACCCCCCGATGGGTACATTCCTGCCCAGCCCCCTAATACAACAAGCAGTGGGATTATTAATGCGGCCCTGCCAGGGTGGGTGTTCAAAACCACTTGGTTTGTCTCCTTTTGGCAGAAAAACCTGCTTTTGTGTTCCTTAAAAATTCATTTCTCATCCAGACCTGAACTCATCTACCCAAGTGAGCATTCAGAGATTTTACAGAATTACAGTTATTCCTTAAGAAAGAGGCCCAGTGGATCCCTAGTGGTTATAAATCCAGAGCCACGTCCCATCTTTATGGGTCACAGTTGGGGGGACCTGGGCTGACCCTCAGGTGACAATGCTCCATGACAGCACAAATACTGCCATCTCCAAACTCCCAAACTCTTCCATCGAGTAGAACATTCTGCATAAAAATAAAATTTAAAAAAAAAAAAAAAAAAAAAAAAAAAAAGTAAAAATGGCCAGGGAACCATTTTAAACTGTTTTGGCAATGAGTACAAAATACAATTCTTGGTTGTGAACTGAACACTTCCCATTTTCCAGACTGGCACCAAAAGCAACAGGGTGCTGCAAAGACTTCAGGGAAGTTTTCAAGAGGAACATACTGATTCTCCAAAGTATTGCAGGAAACTCAGTAAAAGAACATCCTCTGTCTGTGGATCTCTGGGAGAATGAGGAGAATAAAATATTCCACTAGCAAAACTTTTAATTGCACAGCAATTTGTTGCTTTAAAGCTTAAAACCACGAAAAATTAGCATAAGAAAGTTCAGTTGTGACTGAAAACATGCCACATAAACCATCATCTCCAGTTTGTAAGAAGAGGTGCTGACAGACAACCTCCAAATATCCTCATCTAGAGGGTGTCCCAGGGGACACTGGACAGGAGATTCCGAGTTACTGTACCAGGCCAGACCCGCATCACTGGTTGTTCAAGGACATCAACCATTATCCAGGCATCCTGAACAGCGAAACCTCCAACTGGGTGCTCCTCCAGCCTTCAGCAAACATCTTTCTTGCGAGAGAAGTAAAAATCTATCCCTCTGTCCTTGTGCTGTGCTGGTGCCTGTGCAGGTCCCCTCCTGCCCCTGGGATGGGGACTCCCTCCCTGTGGCAAATGAAACATGAACAGTGAGAGATTTTCTGATGCTTCAGAGTGAATCTGGTCCCAAAGCAGTGCTGAAATGCAGGAAAATGTGGACAGGGCACTTCTGCTCCCCAGGTCCACTACAAAGGCAGGAAGGCCCGACAGGCACAGCTCTAGGCTTGGATTTAGGAAACCAGGGTTTTTGGTAAGGTGAACTGGAAAAGTTGATCAAAGTGGAACTCTTGCCTGGCAGGGGAGTTTTTTGGCTTCAAGTCACTGCCTCAAACCAGTGTCTCACCAAGGAGCTACTTCATAGAGTCCCTTCTCTGATCCCAGGAGGTTAGTAATCCAGGCCCTCCACCAGCATGGCTGAAGCAGAAGGCTTTGCTTCCACAAAACTTTCCACTCATGGCAAAGGAATCTGGCCTGAAAAATTTGGTATTGCACCTCGGGATTAAAACCTGAAATGGAGACATGCATCATTCTTCACTGAACACAGTATGACACCTAAATTTGAGCCTCCACAAAGTATCCTCACCTGGGAGGAGGCAGGGATTAAGAAGAGTGGGGAAGGCAAAATGCTGAAAAATCGTTGTAATACACAAGAATTTGTCACATCCATTTCCTTCCACACCCAGCTCCTCCAAGAGCAGCAGCCCAGGCAGCAGATACAGGCTTTGACATGTTGCAGGATCAGAATCTCAATCTGTCCCTGTTCTAAAGGGGAGATACACTCGAAAAGCCAAGTGCAAGGGCCAGTCCCCAGAGTTACAGGTCTGCTGACTCCAGTTTGGATTCACTCAAGCATGGCAGGAAGTTGGTTGTTTCTCCACCTCCTGAGCACAGAGGACAGGGAGTTGGCTCCTCTCTGCCCATCTGCATCAGGGGGTGGTCAGGCCATGCAGGCCTTGGAGATTCCCCATCCCTCCCTGCTGGCCAGTGGGGCTGCCAGGAAGGATGCTTTGAAGGACGTGCTCTGGCTAAGCCCTGCTGACTATACGAGGCTGATGGGATAGAGAAGCAGCTAAAATTTACATCATTCACCACAGCAGGTAGGACAGACAGAGCTAAATAACCCTGGCTGCAGAGTCCCTGTGCAGGGCTGGACCACTGCTGGGGGGTAACGTGACTTTGCATTAAAGCAGTTTTTTCCTTTAATACCTAAGAGAGAAGAGCAGAACTCACAGACACTCCTACAGACACAGAGCAGGCCTCCTGGAGCCCTCCCACCCCATCCCAACCTTCCCACCCCATCCCAACCTTCCCAGTACTCACGGGCCTCTGGCTGATGTGTCGGCTCCACTCTGGGGCTGTCACAACTGGCTGTGGGTAGGTCTCACCTAGAGTTACTCCTGCCTGGGAGAGAGCAGCACTGCTCAGTGCCCAAGGGCTGTGGATATCTGCTCCCTTTATGCCCTGGAGCTCTGGGACCCACAGCCGGACGTAATCCCCCTGCAAACAGAACCAGCGGGACAGGATCCACTCAGTAACAACCTCCAAGTACTTCCCGGCAAGGGTTTCTCAACAGGCAAGAGAGAAGATGGATTTCCAGGTAGAGAAGCTGGTGTAGTACAGCATCAGTTACCTCTGACAAGCCTTAGCCTGTCCTGCATTAGTGCCTTAAGAGAGACTTGGATGCTGGAGTTCTCCCAGGCTCACTCTGCAGGCAGAGGAGGGAGACAGAGGTGCATTTTGATACTGTTCACCTGCACTGTTCAGGACATCCTGTGATGAAGTCACTCCCGAGAAGTTTCCAGTGACTGAAGGAAATTAGGATGACTAGCTCAACTGCACACTCCTGTGTTCCTGAATCTCTCCTATTAACTCTACTTTTGTGTCCCTTCATAGGGCTGATTTCTGGTTTCTTGTCAAATCCTGCCAGCTACAGTGCTGACAGGCAATAGTACAGCCTGCCAAGAAGTGTGGGAACAGGTAATCCAGTGTGTGAGCAATTTACCTGCTCCCACCACTTAGAGAGTCAGAGGAGTCACAGGTTTAATCTACTTTCCAGCACCTCCCAAGGAGCAGCTCTGCCTCTCTGGTCACTCCTGAGTTCTCAGAGAAGCTGCTCTGTGCCCAAGGAAACGTCTGTGTGAGGCACTGGTGGGATGTGGCTGTTACCCAGAAGAAAGGGTGATGAAACACTGAACACATAGACCAGGGCAGGGAAGGCACGTGAAGCACCAGCCTCCCTGGGGACAGCAGCAGATTGTCAGCGTCACATCTTCCCGTGCACAGCGAGGAACCTGCCTGGCTGTTGGCAAGGAGACACAAGAACTGCTTTTGCAGCAGTAGCCACGCTGCAGATTGATCTCCCCTGCTCCCTGGAAATACCACAAAATGCTCATTGTTAAACAGCCAAACAAGACTTACATTCCCATCGTAATCCAGGCCTTGTTTAATCATGTTAAACTTCCTGTTGTCCCGTGGGTCATTGCCAATGCCAGCGCTGTATAACCAGTTGCCATAATTGCTGCAAACATCGTAATCCACCTTGGGAACAGAGGGAGAAAACAGTAAGAAGAGCAGGGCTGGCCCTCAGTGAGTCTTCTCTCCCCAGTCCACCCCTTAGCTCAAGGGAAAAATTCCTTGCATGGCAATCACTCTGGGGTGGTCAGAGCCCTCCCAGGTTGTAGGTACAGACATCTGGCTGCTTTTTACACCTGGGATCAGCTTCCCAGGTCACTTCACTTCATGGTCCTTAACTCAGTGACACCTATAAAAGCCTAACCAAAAATCTCTTTCTCAATTTCCCTTTTTCAAAGAAAATCCTTCTCCTTCTGCCATCATCTGGCAGACTTCACAACAACAAGCCCTAGATTT